CTGAACAGACAAACAAATGTACAGACAGACAGACCGACAGACCAAAATTTTTGCGTTGAAGATCCCCGAGAAAGACAACAGTCTTTAAAAATAGTAAGCATTTGATGAAGAGCTAGCTCAACTGGTGGAGCCCTTGTTTCTTAGCTAAGATTGTTTCTGTGGATAGAATCACAAGGGCGGCACGTAATCAGCATGCGTATGTGTGAGATCAGAAGCTGGCTGGCGCAGCACACAGCGTTGGCTGGGACAGCTTGGTTACAGAAGCGGAAGCTGAAACTCGGCTATCGATACAACCATGCATTCTTGCACGCCAAGTGTCGCCTCTGAGGGCATCAGTTGCCGGACGGCTTAGTCCCTTCATACGTCAGTAAAAAGAACGATAAACAATGCGCGCTAAAGGAAAAAGTGCACCGGGTGCAGCCAAATCGCTAGTCTTACGTGAGACGTGAATTTACACCAGCCTGACGTCTTCCTTACCAAGCGCTTTCTACTACTGTTTAGCCAGTGCTTCCGTTGTTCAGACGATGCAGACGCTGTGTAGCCTTTTGAACCATATTTAGTTCGGTGGAGATGCTGGGTTCCACATTGGTATGCAGTGACAGATGAAGAACACACACCTTGTTGACTCTTACAACGTTTATCAGGTTGGTTCCCATTGAATGCTCAGTTTATCTTCTTAACTAATTTTAATGTGTGATACTACTACTACCCCTATTGACGCATTGTTTGTTTCCTGTGTCTTTCGGCAGCTGTAATTTAGGTCTCTTAGTAAATCCTGTTGTATTATCAATGCCTTACCAACCGTTGTGATTGGACGAGAACCAGTACATTCAGCATGCTAACGCCGATGGTTACCAAATGGTAACTCTTTCCTGACTTGCCGAGGATTTAGGTGAAGCTGCCAGCTTCAGATTTTCTCGGGATGACAGCAGACGCTCTGCCGATTTAAATGTGGAGCACGTTCCACGTCTCAGCGTTCTTTTTCTTTCTTTCAGCGCAATGTATACCTAAACATGAGGGAAAAGGAGGCCATGAAACACCATGCTCCTGCTGGCACCGTGTTCAAGTGGGAGTGAGAATCACCACAGTCTCTTTTTGCGTCATCTCACGACGAGCAAAACAACCATTCATTGCTGATATAGAACGGCAAGATTGCAACCCCTCCCGCTTCAAGGCGATTATTGGCTCTCGTGTAATCACCTTGAAGGGGGAGCGGGTCACAAACTTGCCGCTGGTTCTATATCAGCAACGAACGGTTGTTTTCCTCGCCGCGAGATGCCGCGAAAAGAGACCATGGTTGCTCTCGCTTCCGCTTGAGCGCGCTGCTAGCAGCAGCCGGAGCGCGCAGGCCACACGTTCCCGTGTTCCCTTGCATATGAATTGACACTGTACGAAGACGTGCACTCCAGTGCACATGGCTCAGAGTGACTGCACTCCGAGGAGCCCCTTTGCGGCCGGCGCCGTCATGCGTAGAAGCTTAGAGGCGCATTGGCAGGCATACCAGCTGGCCATTAGCATCATGTCACTTTGGCGCTAGAGCACGCTGTTCTGCATTAGCCACAATAGCCGTAACATTGTAGTACAGTCGTGCACGATATGATGGTTATCGCGGAAGCGACGACCGGCCTTACGTCTCAGGGACCTAGAGGCAAGTTTCAGAACGGTGCAAATTAAAATTTGGTTTCCTTTCCCTTTTTGGCAGTTCTATGCTAGAAAAAACACTCCTAACACGTTCTTTACACCCTTTCTCTTTATTTTGAGTTTTCATTTCGTCGCGATCAAGTGTAATCTTCACGGGCTCTCATCTCTACAGGCGATTAAGAAATCGCTAAGGAAAGATGAGCTACAGCTGTTGATAGGCCTAATCAGCTCCCTCAGAGGGGAGTGATCGCAGCTTAAGGATCAGCAAAAAGAGGGAGTTAAGCTTTTGTGATAAAACCTTTCGTGGAAATATTATTCTGGGACGTGGCGCTGATGTCCTTGTTGGTTGACGCTCGCACGAAACGTTCAAATCGAGCTCGACTGTACTTGCGTCGCTGCAGTGCAGCAAGATCCGCTTGCTCGTGTACGCCTGCACCATATCGGTTTGATGCGCGGCCAGCCAGATGCAATGGCGTTCCGCGGAGCGTGCCAACGCTGAACTGGGTTCAACCCAAGAGCGGACGCCGTTTTTGTGATTACCGGATACTGAAAAACGGTGCTATTTTGTTGTCTGGATGTATGTTAGTCATAGTTAGCGGTGAGGGACAAAGTAATAGCGAAGGCGTTGACGAAGCATGCTGACCACATCAGACGAAGAGTCGTTTAGGGTTTGTGTTCAGTGACAGTTGCAGAGTGCTGCAATCCTTCGTAACGCGCGCTCACCAGGTCCTGCCCATTCGTTCGGCGCTGCACGTACGTGCAGTGTATTCAACCCACGGCAAGTACTGCTCCACTTAGTCCACCAGGACCAACATACAGTACGGTTGCAGTACTTAACGTTCGGTAACCACACGTCAGTGACCCTCTCGCCCTCACCAACCACAGTCACACGCTCGTACATCTCTTTTAAATCAGCAAGTGCTGTGTACACACTAGGATTTTTTTTATGAGTGCGGAACCATAAGAAACAAGCTTGTCGTTCATGTCAGCGGCACCGAAACAAACAAGGGCAAAAAAGAAGTACAGGATGAACACAGGCGCTTTTCATTAGTTGTCCTGACTTGTCTCGGCGATATGCTACAAGCTAGTCTACAGTGATTCAACAAGCCCATATTGGTACCCTGTGCATCCATGCACCTCGGATGGTGTGCCAACGCTCACATTAACTCGCTCAGTACAGGCCTTAATAATGCTTGCAATACTCAAAAGGGCCTGAAAATGAACGAAAGCCTTAAATAATATAATTACTACAAACAACGAACCAGTAGTGCAATAGGTTGGCTTGAAATTGCTAAAACGTTTGGAGGACGTGTAATTGACTCCACTGACGTGCGACAGAGGGGCACCACTGTTTCGCTGAGCGAACAAAGACGCTTTGTGGGCACTGCCTTACTAGATCCCACCACTTCAACAACCTACCTGGACTCGCTCCATATGACTCGTATTTCAACTTCTGAAAAAATCAGGAAGTCTAAAAACCACTGAAAAAGTAGCGCTCATGGCACACACAGAGTTTTCAAATCGACTAACATGATTCTACTCGAGCTGGGGAAAACATACACGCTTACCTGAAAGATAGGCGTCGTTGACGGTTTGGTAAACGAAGCAGTGATAAAACTACAAACGTAAATCGCAGGATCCCCTTTGAAAAAAGTTTCACATGTTTTACAGCAGTCAAGCAACTATTTATCGTAACTGAGTTTCGCGAAAAAAAATTCAAGTACAAAAGCAAGACACCTGGTCAAGCGCACTAATGAAGTACAAAAGCAAGACACCTAGACACAGCGCAAGGTGGACACAACGCTTCATTTTTTTCGCGCAACTCAGTTAAGATGGAATACCAACTCCTCCAGCAGTCTGTGCTTCTCAGCCATTTAGTTTTGTTAAGTTATAACGCCGTAGTTGAACTCATCATTTGGTCGCTTCTAAGCTCATCGAGAAATAACGACATTTACAATATAATCGCCAGATCGCACAATACACTGATCTGCTTACGTCATTTTTCACATTATTTTTTGGCATAGATGCACACTGTCGGCTTATCTGCGCAATGGTGCGTTCAAAAAGACGGCATTTAGCACATCGTCCAACCACTCTTGTTCTTGCTCACTGGTGTCAGACTCCATTTCATCCCAGGGTCAATAGTTGTATGACACCGACATCGAATTAGGTTAAAAAAAAATGCGCAGTTGTACAACACTGGCATAGAAGTATGTTTTGTAGCCAGTGTCTCGTATAAGTTAATCAGCCACTATTAAAACTGCTGATGACATGAACTCTTGCACAAGTCTTTCCTCGCTTCTAATTTACAACACACATAGCTGATTGAGCGAACCCTCATTACTCGCACGGAGCACTTGACATTTATTTACGGCGTATTTGTGTTCCTCAAATGGTATGCATGAAATGAAAACAAAATCCTCTATAATTTCAGCAACTCTCACTATAAATGTTAATCAGCAAGAATAAACTTGATATTCATTAATATTGCCGCGACAACTTGCTGTTATTGATTGCTCCATGTTGGAGTGCTTTAGTTACCATTCCCATGTTTTATTTCAGTCAATACGCTTGTCTGTAGTTGGCGCGTTGTTGATTATTTTTGCACCTCTCTGGCCAGGCTTGCTAGAACCCTTCTACAGGCAAGTATTTGACAGAATATTACGCCTTAAATGTTTAACGTTGCAGCATAGAAATCCATCTCAATGAGCACAGTTCATTTTTCTAATGTGTTCAGTTGTATACTTGCAACCTTCTTTCCAAATAATCCCGTTTTGTTACACTGGCAAGCCGGAAACTGTGTAAAATAGTTTCGGTGCAATTTGTGTAATTTTTTCCTCTATCTTATTGTACGTTGCAATTTATTCACTATTTTTCCTCTACTGCGCACTTTAATTCTGCAAGCCTTACACTGGCTCCTTGCAAATTCATTTGTTTAGTTTCTGAAAATATGTTGTCATAGTTCATTCAAGGCCAATGATAAACATATTACGACTTTACACCAACGCATGACAGTGTGATGTCATGAGTCGGTGCTCTGAATGAGCATCATTTGGTGTACGCTAAGCTGCTGCGAGTACTTGGATGTTGCCGCTCCAAATAGCTGGTGCTGGAAGGCGTTGGTTATCTCACTTCTGCGGCTGCTTCGAACGCTCTGCAATTTGTTCATTCGGCCAATATGGTTATTATTGTGTTCAGAGTCTAGCTTACAAACATACCAGTAGCTCGGGCAATGTCACCAGAAAGTTGACTGTTTAGGTTCTCGTTAGGGTACACATGATAATCTTCCTACCAGCGTGCCTAATATTTGAAGAGCTACTCAAAACGAGATTGTAAGAATTGGAAAAAATATAGCGCCATTCCGGAAGTAGTATTTTATTTACACTATCTCAGTATACCATAAAGTTTACAGTTCAAACAAGAACACCTCAACGCAGTAGCGGCACAACCTATGTTTAAAGACAGAAAACGTTATCTATGTTGACAGAGAAAGCATATTTAGTGCACTGTCGACACAAAGGAATCATACAGCGAAGTTGACTTTCTGACTCTACGAAGAAGCCATTCTAGAAATGATGGCTCAAACGGACGGTACCTAGGCACGCATTGCTTTGCACAAGGCACAAAACTTTTTTAAGGGTACTTTGTTCCCATACTCGCTTCGTATAAGAAGCGTATAGCTGTCGTGCTGCGTTCAAGGACGCTACCTTATGCAGATGATCCAGTGGCACACACTTCAGCGTCCTATGAGTGCTTACAGTTACGGTTTTATTACAGTACACAGTGCAGAAGTATGGCGCGAGTACCTATAAGAGCTGAAATACCTGGTTCCTGAGCCAACGTAAAAATCGTGGGTAATGCAAGGATTTGTCTAAACTTCAGCTTATTGACTTCATGTGGAGCCATTTCGTGGCAAGACAAAGTTTAGCATAAGTTTTCCAGTCCCACTTTTTCATTTTTACCTCTTTCTAACTTTCAAATTCAAGTCGGGTAACGAGGTTGACAGCAAGAAGTGCTTTTTTGCTATGCCTAAATCAAAACGAAACGTTCAACAAAGGTACAAGTACATTCGAAGCAGCAAGAATATACTCAGAAAAGTCACGATTTTAGCGCCACAGTTCCGACTTGTAAATATTTCAGGAAATCCTACGCTTACAATGGCTGCATTCTGACTAACGCCCGATGTTCACAAAGTATAGTTGCCCATAAAAGTCCTCGTATCTCTTAGGGCACATTAACGTGGGCACGCAGCGCATCAAGCCCCCTTCGTATAACTTGGCGAAGCCTTTGTGGCATACGCAGTCACCAGCATGACACTGTTTGATACAGTGCTTTGGCCGCAGGACGTCGCACCTTGGCTCGCAAGAGGAAACACACTGCTGATAACTTGAGTGTTGCGGGCACATGGGAGGGCATACCTTCGCAGACACGCACCCCCTCCTGACAGTCCTGCGGTCACTGAAAGGACACAGAAAGGTAATTCGATTTGGCGACAAGTGCATACAAATGCATTAACATTATCACATGAGGAGGAGGGGGGTAGATTGGGGCGTATTCCGAATGAATCACTCTCCGCGGCATTGCAACATTGATAAGCACTGTATCTGGCCCACTGCCCCAGCGTCGTTGGGGCAATCTTAAATTGATGTGACCATGGGAGATATTTTGGAATGTCCTTTCAGTGGACTTTCCATTGCAGCCGCCTTTGACTGACCGGAGATTAGCAAACAGGGTGCACCATGCTTTCGGTTGTTCTCCAGTGACGGGATTCTCACGTTAAAAAGCTGCCGCGACTTTCGGTACTGATCCGCTTTAGACCGTGCGAATCTCGATAATAGTCTGTGTAATCTGATTTCGTTGTCGCATTAGCCGTTGAATCAGCTGCGTAGAGCCATGTCTTGCGACTTCAGCAACGTAACGTGCTCTGATGACGCCAGACAGCAGTAGACATGCCCTCTGGTGGACAGATCCAAAGCAGCTCCACCTTATGTGCAATAACGCGTCTTGTGCTGTATCGCGAAAGTGACAGTCACACTGATCGTGATCGCCTCACAACATAGCCTCTGTTTAGGTTCTACACACTATCTCGTGCTGTTCACAATAAACTGTTCGCTCAACCTCTCACCCCCACTCGCATCTCGCCCTCTTATGCAGTTGCCCTAACATGAAGTGACTTTGCGAAGACAAAACGGTTGCCAAAGAATGATGATGACCACGTGAGCACCAGACGCGATGTTAATCATTAACCACGGCCTTATGCATAACTCGCTGGAAGGACTTGAGCTGATTGTCCTACCGTTGCCGTAACAGGAACAACCGACTCTTCAAGGTTAGGCAAATTGCTCTGTCGCATCCTAGTTCTTGTCATTGTCATGTATAGGATACTACTATTCGGTACTTATATTTGCTGTGAGTATCAGTAGTGATACTTGTGCTATCTTTTATCTTAGCCATCTGATATAATGTAGTCGGCCGACACTGTGCTTAAGCTTTGTTATTGGCATAACTTTTTACTCAGATGGTTGGTCACAGAAGAAATTGATCGTCAGCAAGACGAAAAGGAAAATTCACATGGACAAATGCTTACTAACAATTCAACCTTGATCAGAAAAAACAAATATGCAACCGAAAGTTTGCATTTTCTGTCTGACTCAAACATGGTCTGCACAATAGCTGTTATCCTGTGAGTGATTAAACGTGTGCTCCGTGTGAAAGTTATCATGCTTTCAATACCAGTTTGTGAGGTTTTCAGGCCCAGGAATAGTTTGCGATATGATACTGCGCCTTAGTTGTGGCCTCCTGATAATTCGAAACACCTGAGCCAGTTCAATGTAAAACCATCGCAGCAGATAATTTTGCTTACGTAAATAAGTCAATTTTGACGCAAAGGTGAAACAATGAACGTGATAGCAACAAATTGGAAGGTCATGCAAAGAATTGCAAGCAGATGTCACGCACAAATATTTCAGAAAACGTAATCACAGGTGCAGATTAACGCTAATGATTTATCACAAGCGGTACAGAATCTGCAAAACTTCCATAGCCTCTGTATGCCTAGCTGTGTCTCAAGAAGCTTTATCGCTGGCTATGAATACTCGTGCGCATGTTGTCATGTGAAGTTCGCGACTATGACAGGAATGATAGCGCAAATTCAGTTTCACCGAAAAGGTGAAGCAATAAATTAGATAGCGACAAAGTGCAATGTTATACAAAGTGTGGCTGGCAATTAACTCATTTAGATCCGATCTCGAGTAACTCTTTAAAATGCTAGTGTAAGAGGATACGGTTGCTCAATGTACAGTCTTGACAGCGTTTTTTCGTGTTGATAACACGGCCCGTAAAGGCTCCCGCCTGCTGGGGGCACGAGGCGCGCGCTGATTGTTGCCGCGCCAAAAGATTACCCTCTCCCCTTGCCTCTTGTTCGCTCACGAGATAAGCGTGCGCGCAGATGACCATGGCCGGAAAGGTGATATTCACTCCACAAAAAGAGGAGGCTAGCGCATTCTTCCCCGTATATATTGCATATGTGAATGACGGTGGCACTGGCGACAACGGCAAAAAGCCAGCCGCGACTGTTCCTCTAATTGATATGGTAGTAAATGTAAGGGTGCACGTTAAAGAACCTTAGGTGGTCAAAATTTCCAGTCTTCTACTACGGCTTCTCTCATATTCATATGGTGGTTTTGAGACGTTAAACCCCAGATATCAATTAATCAAGAAATAAAAGTAAGAAGTGTTACAGCAACAGCAGCGATTCAACCAACGCCTTTTATTTGAGTGGCCGAGAACCGCGACCAGGGGAATACTACGTCGGCAGAGCAAGCAATTTTTTGTCCACATTGCTAAAAAAAACTAAAACAAATGCAAGCAGGTTAACCAAGTGCTCTAAGAGAACTGAAACTAGTTAAGTAATGTAGAAAATTGCTCTGTTAGTCCGTGGTAAGCACTTTTAGTTTATTTTTTTATTTTTTATGCTACCACTTCCTTCTCTACTGCATTCGAGCCCTAAAGATATAAATAAACAAGTACTCGATGTGACGTTTCTTCGTTCTCACCGATGAGGCCTTGTGTGCTTGAAGAAAACTTGCTGTATAGCTTCCCCATCTCAAAATTCTATAGTCAGTGCGTGTTCAATTGTTTAAATTAAATAAAGGATGCCTATTTAATGGCTCGTTTCTAGGCTGTAGCCAAAGTTCTGACAAAGGAAACGAGTGAAAATACTACAAGGTTAACTACTTCTCATATTCTCGTATTTTGTCAGTTTGATGCTCCTTTGTTTTTATATGCCATGGCTGTTCTGTGTCTACGGTGTTTACCATTTCATCAACGGTATTGAACCAATTCACCAAGAGATGAGTTGTGGTAAAGGCACGATGTGAAAGCTATGGCAGCTCGAGCTACGGCGAGAAGCAGTTATGAACACAACGTTATTCAAGGCGGTAGAACCCCGGTGGAACACTTTTCACTCCTGATTTTCGCAACCTATTGGTGACGGCTGACACCAATTTGAGATTTTGTTTTTGCAAGGGCATTCATAGATTAAACTCATTCATTTAAATATGGTGATAAAAGCGACAAATTCGCTGACCTAAATAAAATTATATCGCGCAAGACAAGGTGAGTTCACAATATCGAGAAAGGCTTTGGTCCTGCAAGCACAGTGATGACGATACTCACATCACGAATCCCGGAGGACATGCGCAGCCGCGAACACAGTGCACGTAACAGAAGAAAGGAATGGGCCTGCCACAGGTCAGCGGGCAGTCCGTCTCGCACACGTTGAAGTCCATGCGCGGCAACGCCTTGCAGCTGTCGCAGTCCTCGTGCCTGATGCACTGGCCCCAAGCGTTGCGGACGAATCCACTCTTGCAGACGCACCAACGCCGAGCCCTCAGCAACGATGGCCTCGTGATCCGGGGGCTGCAGAATCGCTCTCTTCGTGGCATGAACCTCGTGGGTCTCTCGTTCCGGCCGCAAAGTCGAGGCCTCTCTGTGAAGTAAGAGGGGTGTAACAAGGTGACATTCGCAAAAAGTTGAAGTCAAATAAATAAGTGCAACACTAATCAAGATGTTATTTTTGTGTACAGCAACGATGCAGTAGTCTTAACGCCATACAAAGACCCGTCTTTAGCTGATAAAGCCCACGCATCCAAGGCGCTCTTTTGAAAGCGATGGCCAGATTCGCTTCAGCAAAAGTAAAAATAGAGCAACGAATACAACATGAGCTTGATTGATTGGTTGACTGATATGTGGGGTGTAACGTCCCAAAACAAACGTATGGTTATGAGAGACGCCGTAGTGGAGGGCTCCGGAAATTTCGACCCCTGGTGTTCTTCATCCTGCACCCAAATCTGAGCACACGGGCCTACAACACTTCCGCCTCCATCGGAAATGCAGCCGCCGCAGCCGGGATTTGATCCCGCAACCTGCGAGTCCGCAGCCGAGTACCTCAGCCACTACACCACCACGGCGGGGAAGTCTAACACGAGAGGGATGCGACTAATTTCTATGCGATAAATCACGTCACTCTACGACACTGTCATGACTGCATAGATACCCAAATTTGTGAAGTCATCATGCCGTAAGGAAAATGTTTTATAACTAAAAATAATCTTGGTGTCACAGGATGTCACCACATGACACTATCGTTAGGTCAAAGTTATGCCAATCTCGAAGGCACTGCAAAACCTCGCAAGGTATACAAAGCTTCAAATGCCTCTAATCGCTGAGGCTGTGCAGAGACGCGTTGCATTTTGCAAGTTTTTGGAGATGGAGCTGGAGGGAGGGCAGCTGGATTGGTCTATTCGACTGAGAAAAAACAGATTTCTTTGGCAGTCACTTGGGACACTTGAGACACTGTTTGTTAGGAACCATATGACATGACCTTTCTAACCACTTCCGTGTGACTGCCGAACTTGTCAGCTGTGTCTTGTATCAAGTATTCCGTAAGGCGGGACGCTGCTACGTCACTTCCGTGAAACACGTGTGCGTCAGCAGCAGATCTTGTTTCATCAGTGCGCTGAGTTACAAGCCTTTTGTTTTTATTAAGCCATTTTAGCTCAGCGCAGCAGTTAGCACGCCAGAGGCGATTTGTTTCAGATGACATGAGGATTGTACCTGTCGGTACGTGTCCTGCTAAGAGGACATCAGCTCACTTCACTTTATTGCTACAAAAATCGGTTCTCCGCGCGCCTTTAAATCTACGCATTTCGCGTCATGCACTCGGTATGGCACTGTTGCTTGTTTTAGATTTTGATTGATATGTGGGGTTTAACGTCCCAAAACCAGTATATGATTATGAGAGACGCCGTAGTGGAGGGCTCCGGAAATTTAGACCACCTGGGGTTCTTTAACGTGCACCCAAATCTGAGCACACCGGCCTTGTTGTTTTAGATTTTAAGAAAATCGGTCAACTTTTACTTGGTTTTATAAAGTTTTACATAGTGTGTTCCTGCCCTACTCGTACATAAGCAAAATTAAGTGGTCTCCTACTTCATTTTGGCACCACATACAAAAATACATTCATAAAGAGCGGACTCACCCTTAATTCCGTGCGGCTAAGCTACTGCGTTGATATCAGCGCCCAGTGCGGGTGTTGCGGCTTGAATGTCTATATTAAATGAACACCTCGAGTGTTTTCTTTTTGGTTATGAGGTTTAGGACCATGCCCTCATGCTGTGCATTGAGGACGAGTGTCCTTATTGTTGGGCTGCACCCTCCTCACCGTCCTTCTAAGGTTTGCGTATGGTATTACTTGTATATTTAAAGCATAACAATTTATCGTACCTGCAGTGCAAGCTAAATGAGTAGAGAGAGCACTTTCTAGATGTCTTCGCTAACTTTTGTGGTATTTTATGCAAGACACTAAATAGAGCCGTCATAGAGGATAATGCACATCAGTAAAACTTCTTATTCAGAACAATATTTAAGGCTGAATTCTCGTTTAGGGCGTCTCTTACAGATGCTTTCAGGGGTCCTCATACAGAAGCTTATAAGAGCTGAAATTTTGAGATGCTGACTAATGAGCACAAGCGCAGACAGCTAAGACACCTGGCAGGGGTTCAGACACTCGTTTCCAGGCTCACAAAACGACTTAATTGGCCGAACAAAAATGTATTTTCAAACGTTGGCGCCAGCAACGAATAGCGCTTTAGTTAGTTTTTTAGCACTTCATGTTGTACGAATATTCCTATAATGCGTTTTAAAAGTTTGAACTGGTATCCTCAGCTGCAGGTTTTCTGTGGTCAGACGAGACCACTGAGTAGCAAGGTAGCGAGGTACACTTTAATTCCATGTGCCCATTGTAGTCTACGACAACAACGAACTCACCCAATGGCATCTTTTTAAGCTGACCTGCTGCTTGCGGGTGCAGGTGTACTGCTGCGTTGACGTCAGTTCAATACACGATATAACAATGGAAGCAAGTTCTCCTTGAAGCTATAAATAGACGTGGTTTCCGTCACGCGCTGTATATGCTTTGCTTGTTTTAGTTTCAACATAGCTTGACGAACGTCTACTTGCGAAAATAAAATTTTACACAACGTGTGGTATCACAACTTCTGGCTAAATAGAACAAAGAGGTCTTTTCAGCATCAAACACACTGTTCAAAACTGCACAAAACTGTCAAGCTAAGTTGCTCAGTGGCATCATCAGATCCAGAAATACATCTGCATTGTGTTTCTAAAACTCTTACAGATGCTCACTAAGGAGTGCCAAGGTAACGCTGCAGTGAAGTGTTGTGCAGTAGGGAAAAGTTTATGGCGGAATATTAAAGTCATCATATTAAGCACAAGTGAAATGCAGACCTTCAGTAACAATGCTTCCGCAGAGTTTATCTTAGCCATAACGAACGGACAGAAAAAGCATTACTATAAACATATTTCAGCGATCAGAGTTATGCTTATGTTGAAGACATTCATGAGATATTAGTCCTCTTTCAAAAAAAAGTTTTTTACCGGTCCATTTGCAAAAAGCCGTTTTTTGTATGCAGAAGCAACAGACGAATGCCGATTGCACCTAACCTAAAGTCGACCTCTTTTATATCCTGCCTTCCAGACGTGAGCAGTTCATGTGTGCTTCAAAGATAAGCTAATTTATGTCACGCTATTAGGGCTTTATTACGAAGACTATGCAATATTACTTGTATACAAACTTCACACCTTATTAGCAAAGCCTTCTCGAACGAATAGGGCCATGATAATATTCATCACCATGACAAGTTAATATATTAAGCATATTCATCACAAAACTTGTGCACAAAAATGGGATTTTTTGTACATTCTTGTAAACTGAGAGACAGCTAAGCTGTTTGACCAGTATTCATCATAAACGAAGGTAAGGGCGTGCAACCTGCATGGGCAAATAAAAATAGAACACAGCAACATGAATGGTGACAGCTAACTTAGAGTGCAATGCGTCGGAAGAAAGAAGTACATGTAATGCTTATCTGTGCATGTGCAGACAGAGAGCACTGACTATCATTTCAGCCATCGTGATCTAGTATTTATTATGCTCTGTTCTTTTTCATTTCGTTCGTGCTTGCATGTTCCAGCTTTAAGAAGCACGTGAAAGCTATTTACATCGCATGGACTCGTTATCAGTACGGCTACTGGCTCGTTGAACAAGTGCGCTTACCTTTTATATGCTGTTCATGTCGTCTAAAGGCTTAACCGCTTACACGCGGTTTTTTTAGCGACAGCAGCCAACTTTCTCGGCCGATCTGTCGCGTCGCAACGGCTGCAACCACACGCCGGTGACAAAGTGTGAATGCTGCTATAATAAAAACTATCCCGTGCATAACCGTAAATTGAGAAAAGAAGACTACACGTAAGTCGATGACAAATTCCAAATTAGTTGCTGTCTTGTATGACAAAAGGAAGGCACAAAAACGTTTGACGACTTTCTCTTTTCGCAATCTAGTTGGCCACGATAGGGCACCCAGAAACGTGCGCCATGACGGCTACGGCACACTTCGCATGATGGTTTTACATTGCCGCAAGCGACTAAATTGTCCTTAGCTGTCATAAAACATCAAAAGAAACCTTCGATAACAAGATTTACGACAAAATACGATCGCTCTTTTACATTCCGCTTGAGATGCGGATATAAAGAAGGTGGTCAATACTTCGCATTCCTTAAAGTTCGCTGGCATAACAAGCATCGAGAACGAATTGCAATCGAAGCGAGAATTATGGAGACAGCCACACTGCCAAAAATCGTCAACTGATTTGCGGGTGACAAGCGATCTTTTCTAGTTTTCCAGAAATGCGCCACGAGAGGAGTGATGGCGACGGATGGGCCTTCGTGACAGCAAATTCTGTCGTACGTCACTGTCATTGCTCGCTGTCGCTTGAAGCTCGCGTGCATGCAGTTGAGCAATAAGATGTGGTAGTGTCATAGTTTTCATCAAACTACGTCTCATTGTCCCTCTTTGGCGTAGCCTAAATCATGTCCCAACATAAATTTAGGATACAAACTCAGTACGCTTGCAGGGTCTCTTAAGCATTTGCCTAAATGTTGACATGAAGGGGTATGCCATGCTGTTTCTTCGTTCGCTTTAGTAATAGCTTACGTAATTATATTCTTGCTTAGACATTCACTTCTTGTATCTCATTTACTCCTTACTCTAAATTCAGCACCGATCACCCGCAATTTCTTGAGAATACTTTCCACGGACTCCAAATTATTTTGCAGTGACACGAGTTTCGGGTCATCTGACTATGTTTCATGACTTCATTAGACTATGTGTACCAGTGTTGTCAACACCAACCGTCACTTTTATTTCTTTATGAGTCGTATAAAGCTTTCGCATGAACGACCACTACTTAATGTTTCAAGGAGCTCACGTCTTCAACAAAAAGGGGTCATATATTAAGGTAATTTGTTAAGCGGAACTTTTTCTGCGTTTTTTTTTGTGCTTTCGAAAGGACGCCACTGGCCTGTTTTCTTGCTTTTTCGTAATATCTCCCATTTCGTTTTGAGCTGTTTTCACACAGCCCGAACGGTGTCTCTTACGCAGTTCTCATTTTAACACGCAGTTACTCACTAGCTTTCGATGCACAAAAGAGGAATTTGAAAGTGAAGTATTATAACCCGCTGCATTTAACAAAATTTGATCGGCGAGTAGTATTTTTTAGGCGGGAAGTTTTTCGAAAGAAAAAAACACAATGGGAAGTTATCAATGCAACCAAGCATTGCAGCGCTTTAAGCAAAGAGCAAAAATTGTGAACCCTTTTAGGCTGTGCAAGTCCTCAATTGGAGCACTTTGTCCACTAGAGCTTGACGATATAACGTGGACAGTTTACCTTTGTCATAAGTGTAGACAGGGTTAATATCAGTTGATCCACGCATCTTTGGGCATTCGGTGAAGCAGCCATGGTATAGCACAAGAAATATCAACGTGCCAATAAATGCATTCCGTCCTCACCATTGGCTGGTGTTCAGGACAGTAATCACTAGACTTCAATATCGGTTCGAATTCCACAAGTGCATGGTTACGTATGGACCATTATTACGAGCTGGCTGACAAAGCAGTTGGAAAAAACTGTTACCGCTATCCAGTAAAAACTCACTTTTTCCTACTTATATTCGGTCGTGCTTTGCAATAACATGCATCTTTTTAATCTATTATAACGTCGATAACTTGTCATCTTAGGTTCAAAGCAAATGTGAGGATGCTGCCTTTGAAGTTTCGACAAATCGAGTTGCGATGTTTTCAGCTGCAACGTGCTAAAATAAGGGCCTTATGATGAAGTAACATAACTCGGAGCATTTTGAAGGTATGTACTTACGCAGCCTGCGAGCGGTTACAGACCCGATTAGGCAAATGAAAACAAGCGCCAACACTCCCCACTTCATCTCAATTTGTAATAATATGAAGTTCAACTATCCTCCCTCCGGACAACAGTGCCAAGTACTGAGGCTAACAAGTCACAACAACAGCTGGACTCATAGCGTTCATTGTTTCAGTAATGCGAGAGCTACATCTTGTTCTTCATGAGAACGATGCTTAAAGTTGCAGCCTAAAGTTTCAATGCGCATTACGCTTCCCTCGCACAATGGTAACCATGTTTTCCTCTTTCTTTGTAGAACAGGGCTGTGCACTGCTAAACAATGCAGAATATTCTTTTCGAAAACAGTCAGAACGGTAGGAGCATACAGCGTTTCTCCAACAATGCGGCCATTCGCAAAGCTCTCTACCCAATCGTCTCCTAACGTTCACATGTTCATTTTCATTTGGTTGCCAAAGCACAAATAGCTCACGTATTGTGACGTCATCAAGGCTGTGCGTCAGAACAAACTCAAACCCTATGGTAGGTCTAGTGACTTACAATTACATGAGTAACCTTACTGTCTTCTGTGGATATGACAACGTCTTCAGACCATAAGCGTTGTCTTCTGAGTTTTCCGGGGTTTTTTTTTCGCTGTGTGCAGTGTTGCGGTAATAGGAGCATGAGTTGTTTTCCATAAAGTACCTGTGTGCGATAGTGCTGGAAAAGAATTACCGTATTGGTTGTACTCCTTTACTAACTACCAGATCTGGTGGTGTGTTCTTTTTAGAAGGAAAGCGTGTGAGAGGCACTAGTGATCATCAATAAATGTGTGTAAGTTAAGCATGCGAGATATGACTGGCTTTTGTTCGTCATGCTTAAGAAACAAGATGGTGGTTCCCATGGGTAACTATAGAAGTACTATAAGAAAGGGCGGGGGTGTCAGGCCATGGAGGTTTTTGAGAGTGGTGGTATTTTTACTTCCAGTACTTTCAGCGTGCTTCGATCGATCGGGTGCGGTCACCCTTTCTTTTCGGGGACCAGCGGAAAGCTTGCCATTGTTCACGATATATTTTTTCCACAGCGTTTCATTTGCGATGAAGTAATATACATCATGAAAGTTTATTCGATCGCCGTAGCAGCCTCCCTTACGCCACCATTTAGTTGTGTTACGTCAGGTGACATGCTAACGAAATGAAGTGCTTGTATTGCTATGACATTCCTACTGGTTGCTATCGCATTCATTAGTCGTTTCAAAAAACTGTGTCTGGCTTCATAACTGAAGGTACAGGCCAAATGGGGTGCGTTGCTGTGGCGGAAGGGGGGTATAAAGGCTCAAGTACCTATTCTTACATAACCCTGAGGATCACATTGGCCCAAGTACCAGTCTTACATACCCTTTGCACCTGACATGGCGAAGCGACGCCCGGTGTGGTGTGTGAGGGCTTCAAAATCTTCTAGTTTCCTCGGGTCCGTGTTGACGCTTCTCACCAAACACCTCCTAGCGCAGATATTCCTGCGGGGAAGTCATCGGCTAAGGCTGCAAGATTTGAGAAGGAATGCTGTTTCGCAGTTCAAGTTTAATGTCTCGTCACTTGGCAGTCGTGCCAGGGCACGCATATCTCTTCTCCCCAGTTGTATGCCTTCACGAAACCGGCGTTGCAGACGCAGCCTCCATTCTGGCACCTGGTCTTGCACTCGCTCGGCTTTGGGGCGTGGCAGTGCGGCTCACAGCTCGACGTGCAGACGTGGAAGGTAGAGTGTGGCGGGCACCGCGGCGCACAAGACGTGACCGGGACACACTCAACCCATGGGACGTAAGGGTGCCTACAATGAAAAAAAAGTAAACATGACTGCGTTGAAAATGCACGCATCTAACGAACCAAAATACAGCAATAATAATAGAGGACAGCATTGGTTGTTTAGAGGGTGCTGTAAACAATAAATTTAGTGAAAAATATAACATGGCCACAAAGTGGAGGTGAAAATGCTGTAGCCCGTGTTCTCAGATTTTGGTGCACGCTAAAAAATTTTCACAGCCTTCTACTATGGCGTATCTCACAGTCATATGCTCGTTTTGGGGCGCTGACCTCGGATATTATCATTAACATGCCCGGAAAGAACATCGAAAAATGAGAAACCTGCTGAAACGTTCGGAATGCCGCTGGTTATGCTTCAATAATTATCCTAGAATTCTCCACAAAATGAAATAGTGTGTGATAATGACTATATTTTTCATTTGTATCGATCGTCCATCTGAAACTTTCACATGTCAACATGCGCATTTAGCAAAAACTCAATTGACCAGCTTAGGGCATAAATTTAACAAAAAATATACGTGCGGATTTTTCATAAAGAAACCTTCTCAATTCACAGTCTTTCATTCTAATTTGGCGTTCAAACGAGAAACGAACACTTTTTTAAAGTGGTCACTGTACCATGTGAACAAACTCATAGACAAGCGAACCGGAAAGTTGACGTGATGTATTCAACCACTGCTAGTATAACACTGAATGTACCGTGTTGGCTACGTGGAAGTACGCAATGCAGAAAAAGTATCATGAAATGAAAACTTTTATGACAATTTGTTCCACTCGAAGGCCTTCCTGACGCAATGGGTCCCATTCTGGAAAGCGTAGAGACGCATAGTGAAAATGTAGTGATGTTCACTACCTTGTCATGCGTCGAATATTAGAGGCTACTGAATTGTGGCAGCATAGTAGCAGACTGACGCTGTTGTATAGGGTTGCGTTTCTCATGTCCCTCACCTACATAGGCTACCACACAATCTTATCCCAAACATGTTCGACGACGACCTTTACAATGATTTCTCACCTTACAAATCCAGGAGCGCAGGCACAGCCTGGAACACAGTTTCTGGTACACCTCCTAGGCAGTGGTTTGTCGCAGAAGGCTGGGCACGCTGAAGAACAAGGGTCGTAGTCTGTGTGCGGATGGTGACTGCATCGGTGGCAGTCCGCTATGGTGATGCACCGACCCCAGGCGTTCCGCACGTATCCATGTTTGCAAAGACACCAGCGGGGCCTACGAAGGTGCCACTTGAGCGTTGTCCAGGGCTTGCAGAAGTGGTCGTACCTCAGCCGGCCATCCGTGACGTAGACCTCAAGGTCACCGCACGTCCGATTTTCCCCTGACAACAATGGTGAATAACGTGGACTCTTGATCACGTGAACTACGTGTTAGTTAATGAGGCAGATAAGTCACTGAACACAAGTTTCTTACCATTAATATACACCGAGTGCTTAGTGAAGCGTTGTTTCATTGGATTATGTTTGGCAACTCAAGCTACTTTTACCAACGTCGCCATAAGACAGAATAGACACCCTTCGAACCAGAGCAGCCATCTGGCACTTGATGTTGAGGGTGAATTCAAGCCACCCTAAGAAAGATAAGAAAAATTTGTACCTAATAGTATGTAACTGCATCATTCGTTAACTCAGTCGTGTCAACTTACAAACAGTCCTTATGCTTTACCGCAAAAGCCGGAATCATTTACAATCCCAGCAAACCCATATTATGGAATATAGGTTTAAATGAGCGTTGCTATTATGAAAATTGGGCTTGTTCTCGACACCTGAGATTGGAATTCGTGATTTGGACTGAGGTGAAAGAGCATCCAGTATTACACCGAGTAATGGTGAGCAGGGCTTTCGATGGGAGTTGGGCGATTGGTTTGATTACGACTCGCGGATCATTGTACGCAAATGTATGCCCTCACGAGCCGTGAATATCCTCATGTCACATGCCTATACCATCCTCTCTAGAAATCTTTTATTGGCAGCCCGAATTGTCCCTTCGTAGACTGCAAAACAGGGTGGAGCTTATACCACTTCGATTTGTCACTTGAAGTCAATTACGGGAAGATAAGCACGACTTAAGATGCTCACTTATTAAGCCTTCAGCAGATGCTTGTGATGTACTCAGAACCTCCCTTGGACAGCGATCATTCGCCGAACCCTTCTTGAAAGTGTCAGATGGAAACAATACAGAGCTAAATAGAATGATTTGTAATCGAGAACACATTCGGTAACTTATTTTGTGGCACCAGCATGGAAAGAAGGTTCCGATGCTCGGCTGCTGACCAGAAGGTTGGGGGTTTGATCCCGGCCCTTGGCAGCCTCGTATCGTTGGATGAGAAATGGTAGAGACCCGTGTACTGTGCGAAGTCATTGCGCGTTAAAGATAACCAGACGATCGAAATTTCCGGAACATTTAAACGTTGGGCTTCATAATCGTGGCGTTAGTTCGGGACGTAAAAACCCTTATATTACCATTGTTATTGTTAAGTACCTCTAAGTGCGACAAAACAGGATACTAGCCTGCTAGTCACACATGCCAACCACTTGCGCTGTCAAAGCGACAACATTCATGCTACGCTAGAAAGAACACTCAATTTTCGTTCTAAATCTGACGGAGATATTAATCTATACGTGATGTTTATGTTGAAGTGAAGTGACTATTCAGAATGTGATGGTGACCGGAAGTGTCGTTACTGCTCGAGAGCATGCAAACACAAGATACTCAGTTACTAAACTAAAAGCTGCAACGCTGTTTTAGATAGATGTAAATCATGACGTCTGTCACATAATGAGGACATGCATTGCCCTATTAGGATTTGGTGTCGCGGTCGCGCTATTTGACCCTCCAGAATAAAAGTGTGAAATGCGCAGCAGTCGATAGGTCTCATCGGATGCGAAATCAGAAACTACTTCAAGCAATTTGGCTGAATGATTCTGTAAGAAGTTCATCTCTCAAAACAAAGAGTAAGGGGGAGGGGGCAGCACTTTCATCCCATGTAAAGCCGTTTTCTCTTCATGAAGCACGCGCTTCTCGTGGGTTAGCCACTCTTATGTTTTGTAGCTTCCGAGTCAAAACTGACGCTGTGCCCACACCGGTTAGTCTTTAGCGTAGTGGCACCAGCAGCACTGCCCTACGGCGAGGTTTGGTGCCCGCACAGGATAGATAAAGTCGCCCAAAAGTTACCAGCGTGGGCCCACGGTTTTCTCCAGTGGCGAGTCCGTCGGAACGACACCACAGGTCGCTTCCCGTGGACCGCTCGTGGTGGACGCTGCATACGCGGTACCTTGCCTTTGTTATGTTGGTGGTGTGTGGTGTTGACATGTTGCGTAGGGTTATTTAGCGTGTCACTAGCGGCCGGCAATATTGTTGTTTTTGAAAGCAGGTTAACACGTGCACACGTATTGATTGCCCGAGGGCATCTAGTGCGTCCGTTTGTTTCGAGAACGTAGGGATCTACTCAGACCCCACAAGCTTGCAGCCCTTCGGTGATACTAATGCTCTGAAAGATTGCAGTTTATTTACCCACACTGATGAGTGTTTCGGTCATTCAGACCAAAATATTCGCATTACAAAAACCAACTGGACAGAGTTATTGAATATCGCAGGTCTTTTTCAGATAATTTTGCTTGTGGATTTTCACGCTCGTTGATATCTAGTATCACCTTTATAAGGCCCTCAGCGTGTCCACGTATCTTTATCAAGCATCTAATGATTCGTATTACACGCGCTGTGTAGAAACCAGCTGAATTTGTGCAAACTTGGTTTTGCTCGCAAAATATCTTTTCTCGGTATTTCGGAGTGGTTGTTGATGTAACGTCATGAAGGTTTCGTGATATTGAGAAACGCAAGTTGCCTCATCATAACACCCTACGATTAATTTATCTTTCATGAGCTGGTATTTTGTTAAACATATAGACTGTACATCTCGCTTAGTGCAATCATTATTCTTTCCGCCATCAAATGAAAGTTATTGTCCTCCGCTACTCTCTGAGCTGTGATTACTCGGATATGTTTCGAGTTCGTCAAATCTCTCTTGACTATCAAGCTTTTTAGAGCTTTATCCGTGGGTGCCTGTGCTTATTAATATATTTCGGTGTTATGTGCAACGTATTAAAGAGTTTTTTATCTCACGCGTCTGTGAGCCTGGTTAGTCTAACGCGCTAACTCTGCAGCCTTGTTATTTTTGATGCTATTTCATGACCCACCACGATGCTGTAGTGGCTATAGTACTCGGTTGCTGACACGCAGGTCACGGAATCAAATACTAACCATGGCGTCTTCACTTTAGATGGAGGCGAATTCGTTTGAGGCACATGCTCTTTGATTGGCACAGGTAAGAGAAGCCGCAGGTGGTCGAAATTCGCGAAGCCTTTATCATGGAATCTGGCATTTTCTTGTTGCTTTTTGCGACGTTAAACTTCAACAATTACAACATGACATGAGCATCAACCCTAGGATAGGGTAGTTCTTAATGTCACCTAGAAGCAATGAGGTCAGCAATGTGACAATCAACGTCACAATGGCTTTCTGGAAGCAGGATCGCGAAGATAAAGCATCCGATTCGTCCACAGCTGTAGATAACCTCTGTAGTACGCAACGCTCAGCACACAAATGGGCTCTCTGCTCCGGCGCGTGAACCAATAAATATAGTTGATGCACACATATCACAGGCTTAACACGTGCACGAATCTATATTAGCATGTGATTAGTAAAAGGTTGCAAGGCTGCGCACGCTGCTGCAAGTTCAGTCCAGCTGTGTCGACCTTGCATACAGATAAAGCCAACCTTGTAGTTTTCTTTCACAAAGGACCGACTCAGGTGACTTGAAGATGGTGCTGGTGCGGTTTGAAAAATTAAGTGACAGCAGAGTGGAAACTATTGGTGCATTGAGTGAAGCTATAATCTAATTGTGCGACAAGCTCAGCTTGTTTCTTTAGCAATATTGAAATGCATGATTTAGGATCAAAATTGTCATGACTTCTTCAAAGTCCACATTATTATTACATTATTCAACGTACACATTTAAATAAAGACTACACGTTAACTTCCTAACGCTACGAGAATTGCGTAATCAGAAAGTTGTGCTCGATCCGACATTTCGACAAGTGCATTACAGCCTTGAAAGCCGACACGTGTACTCGTCGAAACATCGGGCTCCAACACCTACCACAATTTTATGAATTTCTCACTGCAAGCTTTTACTACGCCTTCTTGCCTTTCTTCCGGACTTCTTAATGCTGGAGCCAGGGCTCGTTGACAATATATACTGACATTGAGAAGTATAAAAATTGAAGCTCACCCTCAACTTGTTCGGTAATTGCCAGGACGCTTACCCATGCCAGAACAATGACTTTCACACTCATTTCAACAGTAATTTCACTGCTCGCACATGTACTATGAAGCACTTGCGCAGCTATGCAAACGAATAAAATGTGATTTCTGTCTTCTCTTCGTGCGTCTGCCTCACATGGCAAGCGGTATTGTTCGTGGAAGTGGACTTGTTCATTTGGGCTCTGGCGCAGCGACGCCTGCACTTGTAGAGGAGTTTGGAAAGAGCTGCTAGTGGGCAGAATGCGTAGCTTCATTTTTTTCTATATCTATAAAACTAAAGATTTCAGCACTTAGTCATCTCGACGTTCCGCGATTCTTGCATTGCAGAGAATGAATACACACAAAAAAGACCTCTTTGCTAAAGAAGTAAGCCTGCGAGCGAAAACACGTCAAGCGATAATGAATTGTCTCTTGTGGGCTTCGACCGACACAATTGTGGCTTCAACTGAAGTTTTCCTTATACGATATGGCTAGAGCAAAACCTAGTAAATAAGCGGGCATAATCAACAGCAAAGTCTCCTCGGCACAATTGCGAAAATATAGTGTGAATCTTATGCTCGACTTTGGTAACATTGCGACTGACCAAGGCAACCATCTCACGGTTAATGCTCGTTGGCATCTTTTGTATTCTGCTCATATTCAACGCTCATTCAACTTGCACAGCTCACAAACCAAACGAGGTTTACGTGTCTGAAATCGCCCCTAAAAGTTGATGAGCTTATCTTAGTCACGCAACATTTTGTGCTAGGTATGAAAGGAAAATGCATTGGGGAAAGTAGTTGCGTATCTTCCTCGTATACCAAAGTAAACAAACTATGTACAAGTGGTGTGCGGTCCCCAGAATAATGCATGAATGCTAGGAAGATGTCTCGGAATCATGCGATGCCGTGAGTTATCTCACGAGACCCTCGCTATGTGTCGCCAGGATCTCTATGTGATTGCGCTTCTTATCAGTGGCAGAGCAGTCTCTTTCATTTTCTATTTTAAAAGGGTGGAAGGAAAGCCGTAGAAAACAAATACTAAGTATATTTGAAATACCACATGAAAGAAATGTTCTCTTTTACTTTTTGGTTGTACAGGGGTTCATTCGCAAGCGTCTCCAAATCGGGAACTGCCATGCAAATTACGAGACATGTGCGGTCATTTTATGAGCGGGCGAACGCATCGTGCGACGTGCTTTGTGAAGCCAGCAGGCAGAAACAAAGCGTTCCACAACCACCTTCATGGCTACTGCCGGTGCTGACTGACCCTCTCACATTTATAGTACAAAACAAAAATTATATATTCTAACAAAAAAGGTAGGATGACCACCGTCGTAGCTCATCCAGTTAGTACAGAATCGAACGCGTGATTTGAAAGCCGCAGATTCGGACCTGTTGGTGGCGAGTTACGTTTTCGTACAGTTAGCGGGAGTGTTTGCGTGAATAGATGGTTCATCGTTACGAAATTTGAAATAGTGAGGGAAAAACACCAGTGGTTCACACGAAAGCTGGCGCAGAAGAGCAGTTCAATGTTTTTGCATATATATCATACTAAATGTAAGATCCCCTATACTCTTCTCGGCATTCTCGTATGTTATAATTGATCTTGTGCTTCACAAAAAAATTAACCCTTTTACTTTCATATGTTCAAAGACCTCACATGCGTCACGAAAAGGGTGGTTGGTTGTTCCGAGCCTGGTTTACATACCCCTTATTTTTATCAATACAGTATGAAATTAAAAATGTTGGGTTTTATTGTAGGCTACATTGCTCTGTAGAAAATGGTTACTGCTATTTCAGTTGTATCTGTGACAAAAACATCGTGCTACAGGACACGAGATACATCTATAATTGTTACATAGTTTCTCCTCTAGTTCTCCTTGATCGTTATTGCTCTAGCTGTGTATGTAGGTCTTTTTTATAATGAACCTAACTCCTTAGACTCAATTGACTCGTTTCGACGTAGGTCGGTCCTGGTCCAATAGTTTCGTGAGCTATTTTTGAGTTTTCGGTGAACCAAGACAAGAATCTCCTGCTTCAAGAGGACGCAAGCCTTCGACACCTCATCGGACACAAAAACTGACTGTTGTCATCAACATGAATAATGCAAATTATCATCATCCGAAGATTATGACGACGTATAGGATTTCATCCCGACCACACTTGACATCGATATCTTTTTCATGGTTATGACGTCATGAAACGTCATTCTGGCACCACATAGCATGGCTCAACATGATGACGCAATAAGATGACATCATCTTTTCTTCAAATTGATCGTGGGCCAACCCCTGAATCACTGCGAGAGCATGCGTGGAGCGTTCCGCTTCCAATGCATTCAATTCCAGAGGCAGCGCTAAGCCACGTACGTTCAGGACAGAAAGCCTTTGGGAAGGTCGGAGGGGGCATGCTAATACAATCCACTGAGTATAAAAAGAAGCAAAAAAGATTACTTTTACGTTCTAGTCGTCTGAGGCAAATGAATAGGAAACTGTGGTACTACTTTGTCCACACAACGTTTATTGCCTCCTGGGGCACTGGTTTGGAGGGACGCACTGTTTCTTGCCATTGGAGAACACTGTGTAGAAGCCGGGCCAGCATACGCAGGAGCCGTTGTCGCAGGTCATTGCACATATGTTTTGTAATGGTCCGTTACACTTGGGCTCACAGTTAGAGGAGCACAGCTGGAAGCTGGAGTAACGAGGACACTCTGGTGGGCACGTGGCTGCAGGAATGCATGGCATTTTGCCCCAGGGGTCGCTGGAAAAGAGAGACCTGGTGTTATGGGTAGACAGCAGAAGTAATGTTCTGTGCGTTTCAGAAACAGCTTTTTTTTTTCGTATAACACCTCTTATAAGAAATGCCCTCACCTTTCATAACATAGACCAACTACGTAGCCTGCACCAGGCTGGCTGTCTGCTAGCGAGTTTTTTTTTTATTATTAAGAAAAAAACTGGCTGCTCGTGCTGCACTACCATTCTCTGGCCACCCCGTATATATATGGACTGGAGCTTGACCTGCAAGGTAGTGCCGGAGGGAGGATTCTCACGTGCGTTCTTGAACAATAGAAATTCACAGTGCGCGCGTTTACTAAAAGCGGACGGCGGGTCCCTGTGTAAAATCGGGGTTTTTGATCTCTCCTTGCCTGTCAACAGCGATTAGCAAGTTCCAGGAGAAAACAGCGGCCCATCACTGCGTTATTTGCGCCTTCCCAGATTTCTCTCCTGCGCCACGCCGCGAGGAGCGCCAGCGTCAACGTCGTCGCCAGTCTAAGCGTTATTTCACGCTGCTTCACATCTACAAGTGGTTCCCTTATAGAGGTGCTTTTCAAACGTGAAACCCCGCATATCAATCAATCAATCAATCAATCATTCAACCAATCAATCAATGAGAGAGATGTAATTTTTTCAGTTCTTCTTTACCTTCATAACATAAAATACAGAATACTGAGTTATTTGATGAAAAAAAGCGTGCACACATAAATACATCACAAAGGAAACAGACATAAGGAATGCGTTTGTGATTGGTTGCGGGGGTTCGTGTTTGTTTGTCTTGCATTATCTAAGCACGTGTGCACCTTTCTTTCTTTAACGATAGGTCTCGTACGTAAATGTTAAAAAAGACCAGCGAGATGCCTCTCAAAACCTCTAGTGGAGCAAGAACTGTGGGTTGATATGGCGCAGTTTGTGTGGGGAAAAACTGACCTCCAATAATGAAATTCTTTCAGTCTCAGCCACGCATGTTCTTATTCCCGTTGGCACGATCTGTTTTACGAGTCCAGCTTCCCAGTCAAGGCAAATACGTAATGTCGAGAGAAACAGTTTGTGTTCAATGTGTTGCCACCTAACGCGGCGCTTCACATATAGTGTAATGTCATAGCGTCATAACATGATAGCACGTTCCATTTATTATCACACAAGGTTTTCGTGTGGTTTTGTTGGTTTAAAAAAATAGCCGTTGTAATCCGAAAGGCACCAGGCAATTCTATCGAACGCTTCATTGAAATGATGATGATGACGATATGTGGGGTGTAACGTCCCGAAACCACCATATGATTATGGGAGACGCCGTAGTGGAGGACTCCGGAAATTTCGACCACCTAGAGTTCTTTAACGTGCACCCAAATCTGAGAACACGGGCCAACAACATTTCCGCCTCCATCGGAAATGCAGCCGCTGCAGCTGGGATTCAAACCCACAACCAGCGGGTCAGCAGCCGAGTACCTTAGCCACTAGACCAGCGTGGTGGGGCGCTTGATTGAAATAGACGTGTGACTAATGAGAAAAAGGAAATGACTCACAGTATATAACCTGGTGCACAGGCGCAGCCCACTTCGCACTCCTTCGTACAGCTCTGATGTTCGGGTTTGCCGCACACCAACGGACACGTCGTAGAGCAGGGGTTGAAATCCGCGTGACGCTCGTTGGCGCAGCTGACGCATTCGCGGTGAGAGATGCAGTCTCCCCAGGCATTACGCACGTAGCCTTGCTTGCACAGGCACCAGCGGTACATGAACAGCTCAGTGCCCAACGTGAGCCACGGCTTGCAGAAGCGGTCCAGGCGAGGCAGGTAGTTCCGAACTAGCACCTCGTTGGCGTCGCATTTCAAACGATGCTCTGGAACAGAAGCAGCACTTTAGTGGAATACGAACTCGGTGGTTGTGAGGTGATGCACGGGTGCTGCACTTCCTTAACAACGTAGCAAAGTTTTTACTCCGAGTCAGAGATAATTTGTGTACCCGAGTACGTCAATCATTACTAAATTATTGAGCATCTAGTACTCATTTTTATACTGCCCTCATGCTTGGCCCTACAGAGAGATGACACAAAGACAGACGCATGCCTCATCAGACGTCTCCTTCTGGTTACACGTTAACGCAGATTTCAAATATATAGCACGAACCGACGCACCCAACGACAAGTCAGTTTAGACTACAAAGTACTTACTATACGCTTTACGAAGTGTCCTTAGTACAATTACGTTCGGTGTCATAATGTATTCACTTCATTTTATGTGTCTTGTCGGCGTATTATACTAGTTAATGCCGTGCGTGTCGCAACCCCGTGGCATTATTATCCGGGTTTTATTTGCATGGGCGTGTGAATAGTTGACAAGAGCCCCTTGCACGATTCCAACATATTCTCACTCAGCTTGCATCCGAATAGTTATGGCAGAATAGTAAAAAAACAGTCGCACTTAACGTATTAAAACAAGCCGGTCTACAATAGAGAAATCCTATTGACTCTCCAGCGCTCTCCAAACACCGAGGAACTATGAAGAGCGAATTTTATATGACACCACCTTGACTCTTGTCAAGGATATCTCGAAAAACAGGCATTGCTGTTCCTGTGTGTTCGTCTGCTGGCTGGCTTTCTATAACGAATTTTTTTTTTCAAGATTAGCCCTTTCGGTGTATCGGCGGTTATGGTGGTTGCAGTGCCCGACTTGTGAGCCGTCAGTCGTGGGATCGATTGCAGCAGCGGTTGTCTGGTTTCAATAGGGGCGAAATTCTACACGTTTCTGCACGTATTTAAATAAAACGGTGATTGAAATTTTTGAAGCCCACGGCCTACAAGTGCTTCCATAAGCATGTCATAATTGGTGAACAAAACCCTAAAATGTTCTTCATTATTTGAATCTGCTTACTTGAGTGTCTATTCTTATCTATCTTTTTGAGCATTTGTTTCGTAACAGCAGGTTGATTCAACGAACTAACACTACTAACTGGGCACACGCGCATGTAGGCGATGCCCTTAGTGTCTACGGAAACCACCAATAATAGTAATGTATTTCTTCCACTTCCTGAGTATTCACTGTCGTCAAGGCTCTTTTGTTTTAGTTTCTAAAAAGGACGCAAGGGTGACGGCTAATGACTTGCCGTTGCTGTCTTTCTAGAAAGAAACAACTCGCAGCGTTGCATGAGCTTTAGGGATTGACATTGACATGCCTCTTGTGAAAAGCTGATGAACTTGAAATTACCATATAGCAGATGGAAAGTTGTTGCCGTCATTATTATCTAAATTCCACGGCGTACATAGGGTAATAGATGCTACGTTGGTTACTTACAGAACATTTGATACTTCAGTGAGACAATGCAAATACAAATTTGTGATAGGCTGAATGACTGATCGATTCACCTTGATGAGTGGATGGGTGAATGTCACGGCAAGGGATTTAGTATGAGCTCCGATCTACGCAATCTCGCTGTACCCATTTACCTTCAAAATGTCTCGAAAGACCATTAACATGGCATTTTTCATTACGTGCATGATAGCACGTAGGGATTCTCAGGTTTTCTGCACTATCAATTTGAAGCAAGTTTAGATTTTCAAAAACAAAAAGAGCTCACGAATATTGGTTGTCATCGTCTGATTTTAATGTTCATAACTGCTTTTTTTGTTATGTCTACAAATGAACGCCCCCCACACAATGTTATCTTTCATTACAATATGAATGTCCTTACACGCTTAGCTATCATCAAAGTTTACATGCAAACTAGTTCGAGCGAGATTTTCTGCTCTATACAAAATTACGCAAAGTAGCCGGGTGGTTACTCACCGACATACTGCGCCCCCGTGGCGGCAAAAGCCATTAGCAGCAGTAGGGCACACTGTTCGCAACGCATTGACCACATGAATTATCACACAAAATATTGGCCCAGGAAGGTCAAGAATCGCATAAATTTCACACTGCCCTCATAAGATAGCGCGAACCTCTACATGCACATGTGTTCTTTAAAAACAAAAAAAATAATACAGGATTATTTTCTAAGGCAGCTGCTAAGGGCTGACTAACCGCTACACAATAGGCGGATACTTTTTTTTTTCAGATATACCATGAATACCTTGAAGTTGTTCAGACACACTACGCAAGTAGAAGCGCAGGTGTGTCGTTCTTTTGTAATCCGCGGGCGCCTGCGGGAATAATTGTGCCGCAAGAAAATATAACGGGTCGATGTCGCAGCTCAGTTCATCTTCAATTTTTATTTCTTGTAACTGATACCCGTAGAATATATGTGTAGGTTGGGGTGTGAAAACAATGAAGCAATAAGAGCTGTGTTGCGTTCGAAGATATGACGGAGCAATGCCTACTATGAACGAATTTTCGTCATTTGCGGTGGCAGCGATCATTGTTTAACGGGTTTGGTTCACGTGGAGTGGGTTGCGTTACGGCAATAACACGCTGCCTGCCCTCTTCGCACACTGCTTGTTCGTGTTCGCCCGTCATCATTTGTGACGTAACCAACCCGCAGTCTTTTACTGCACCGACAAATTGCACTTGGGGCCCATGCTATATACTTAGACTTGCTCCAAACTTGAAAACTATCACTTTTTCTGTATAGAGCGTGACAAACAACAACCACGGAGTTTCAGTGGTCAGGAAAGTCAATGCCATTGCTGATGCCATCAACTTCAAAATTAAGATGATCAACACCTTTCCACGCTCGACCCATTTTGGTCCAATTTTGTATTAGTCGGTTGCATTCGAACACCAGAACCTGCGTATAAAAAGCTACGCTTTCTGCAGGACAGCCAGGCAATATCTACGGCTTACAGGACAAACTTTATGCGAAATTCTATTGTATGTTATATTAAAAAAGGCTCGGCACTTTGAATGCAATACTTGGAGAGAGTAGCTGTGTGCAGTGAGGATGAGAGTGTTTGTGATGAATGATGGCAGCATCCAGTGGACTGATTGATTGAAAACTTGATTAGATTATATACAATGTATTGTCGCTTGTTGGTTTCAGCACCATGGTATACAAAAAAAGGAAAAAAATTTGGTAGACAGCCACTCAGCGTTTTGTTCTCGGTGTTGCCGGTGGAGTGTTGCTTGATGACTTCAGAACACTAGGCTTGCCTGCCGCACAGCTGGAAATGGCTGGAGCTGGAGCGTGTGCGTTACTAAGAGTGGCAGTGCCCCACACCGGCGCCATCGAGAGCAACTGATTGAACAACTGCTTACTGGATAAAGCCACCACACGTCACGAACTTCATCACTTTGATCTTCACTCTCATAATTCGCGAGCTTTAAATTTTGCTTTGAAATCGCCGTGAATTCTTATTACTTGCCTTGCTTTACCTGCTGCCTTTCCTTTGAATAGTCTTAAGTATGCGAGCCTTCTTCCGATAGCGCGATCAAGTGCTCCAGTCTGGCGTACAGCACTCTCTATTTTGCGATACGCCCAAATGCATGTCGTGGGATTTTCATGGCTACAATTAGGCGTTAACAGATAAGCGGCGGGGAAGGGGATTGTACATGCTGTTCCAGCTGGCAACCTTGTAGATCCAGCTAGACTTGACCTAACACACCAATCACATTTTCTTTCTGCACTGAGACTGGTTGCATCCACTTAGCATTATCAAATTCGGAAAAGCCGGCTTACATTCGCTCCTAGTGCATTAGAAGACCGTTGAGGTGACATACTCTATACAGGTGATGTGAGCCTCTCGCGTAAGCTATCTCGCCATAGAAAAGTTCTGAAGACAGCGCAGTGTATTGGGACCCTGAAAATACATGCCTCTGAAACTACATCGTATACGTGCCTCCAGCCATTCACAACGCATGGTGTGCGTGCCGGAATGTGTTCTAGAGCGCGAAATAATTTAACAGATCTGGGATGTCAAACATGCACTAGTAAGCACTAGTCGCGAATTGACTGCCGCAAGACCGGCATAGGGAAGAAAGCTGAAGTGGCAGGAGTGGGAAGGAACTGCCGCTGTTTTAGCATCTGTAAGAAAGCCGTTCCTCATAGCTTTCGTATGATTAAATTGTAAAGGTGATTTCAACTAAAAGAAACTAAGTCAATACTCATTGATGCTTGAAATCTGACCACAAAATTTAAAATAATTTTTTGTTTGACTGCTACGTTTTTCTACAGTAATTACATGAAGTGTAAAAGGAAAATGTTTTTCGGATGCCTCAAGCTGGCGTAGCACATGATCATACTTGTTAAGAAAAAAATATATGCAAAAAAGACAGTCCCGTACAAACAGGGCCACTAGTCTGCTTCCGCAAGGTGCGTGTCTGAGAGCCTAATCCTAGATAACACTAAAAAATGGCTTCCAGAGCACGTGGTTGCTTTGGTTGAGCTTGCAAGAGGGCGTGAAAAAAATTTGTAACCAGTTCGGAGTTCAATAAGACTTTCTTGTTTTTTATTTATTCGAATTGACCACTCCTACGTCACGCCAAAATCGCATGTATACACTCGCACCAAAAACGAACATCAAGTTTCATACCCCCGCCCACGAACCAACACTTTCACGCAATCCTTTTTTGTTCGGTCAGCCAAAGACTGGAACAATTTTCCCGCTCACGTGGTACAGACCAAAGACCTTGACCAGTTTAGATCGCTGCTTACCGCGCCCGGAATTGTGTAATATCCTCATGTCGTTTTTATGGTTCCCGTTTTTTTGACTTTCATTGTTGTCAGTGCAGGTGAAGTAATGGAGCGTTGCCTTCTGACATCATATTGTTTTCTGTTTTTACCAAATTTATGGCTACCTAGCTCATTGCCGTTGTTTGCATTCTGACTTGTATGTTTGCACCATTGTACTGCTGTAAAGCGCGGTTATCCAAGCTGTTTGGACTCTGATTGGTCCTAATGTAAAACATGTAGCGTATCCGGCCATGTAGTTTCTTTTATGCTTCTTCACTCATTTATTGTTGTAACGGGCTTGTATATAGTTATGTTGGTAGCACACCTCCTCCTCACCCCTACCCTCGTTTTTTGTTCTAGTCTGTCACTTGTACCACCCCTCATGTAATGCCTCCTTCTAGGAGGCCCTTGAGGTATGAAAATAAATAAATAAATAAATAAATAAATAAATATGTGCTCGGACTTTCAAGGACACAAAGGGAATGTGAATTTTATTCAAGATCAAGGTGTTCCTCTCAAAAGAATGGTAAAATGTGTGGGTTCCCTTTATTATATAAGCTATGAATATACATACATCTCCAGTGTGTTCTGGTCGAGCAGGCGAAAGAATGGTACGGAGACTGTTACTCCAAATATTTCATGGTGTTGCGTAAAAGACTGCTCAACGGAGATGAAAAAGATTTTTTTTTTCATTTTAAAAAGGAAACGGGGCTCGCGAGGGGGGCTCTTCCATTTCGTCCTCGTTCGGACATGCGAATGGGGGCACGCAGTACACCTTTTCTTCCCGCACCGCCTTGACAAAACGGGGCAGGCAGACGCACTTTCCGTTGTGGCACCTTGTGCGGCATTCACGCGGCTCGGGCTGGTCGCACGTCGCTTCGCAGACGGGCGTGCAGATCTGGAAACTCGAGAAACGTGGGCACTGTGGTGGGCAGAGGTAGCCGGGAACGCAGGTTTTGTTATCCGATGGATGACTGAGTGAAAAGAAAAACAAGAGAACAACAAGTGTCATCCCCAAGTTTCGACAAAGTACATGCTATATGTTATGTATTTTACTGAATGCTGCAAAGAGCATAAGGCTCTTAGTAAATATGCGTGTTCATGCGGTCACACAAACAACCTCTGCAGTAGCTCATGATAACCAATATTAGATAAAAAAATAAGCATTTATCGTATTTTCGATGCAGTTTCCAGCGTTGCGCATGATTTAAGGTCCATCAGCTATGACATATCCCTGCTCAAATTAGTGATGCAGGTATGCTCCTAAAGGCAGTAACTTCAGTGAGGCTACCTAAGTGCTTGAAGAAATAATTGCTCCGTAGTAAAGGTTAATGCTCGTTCATGTAGCTGTAGTGAGTGATTAGAGAATATTTTTAGAGTAATCCAAGAATAGCACACCCTATGCTCAGTAAGTATGGTAAATACCTCGAAAAATGCTGACATAATAGACAGCTATTCCATATACCAAAGTACAACTTTGTTTCATTTGTCACTTGTCAAACCGTTGTCTTTGTGCTTATGTTGAGAGTGGCAGTAATACCTGCCAGCCTCACAATGTAGATGGACCTTTTACGTACTCTTGAGAACATTTTGTTACAACCCACTTATCATTGTCTCTAACGATGTTCCAGCCAACTTAGGGCTTCCGGCATTCTATGCTTTTCAATAATGAGCTACGGGAAAGTGGTTGCTGAAGAAACAATCTCCTATACAAAAAATGCGATAATTAAGGTTGCTTTGTAAGAAGCGCCGAGCAAACGATGTCCTATACAAAAAAGTGTGGTGATTAAGGTCACTTTGTAAGAGGCACAGAGCAGCTGCCGTTGCCCTATACAATTTGGGAGAAATGCGAAGCGGTCACTTTTGAGACATACTCAACATAATTCTTCGAAGCCGACAAACCAAACCGTTCAGGAATTTAGCCGTCTATTTAAGAACAGTGCACTGGAAGCACTGTCCCTCTTTAACGCCAACGTTTGTGAATAGTCCTTGGAAGAGGTCACGAAAGTTATGCAGCACCCCTAGATGAAGCCTTTGTATAAGGATAAATTTCATTACTAGCTGCAGTCTGAATAATAATTGTCTAGGATGGTCCAAAGCATAGCTTGAGACACAGGCACCGTCCACAGATGATATACGTTAATGGCAGGTTGTTGTTATTATAAATTATATCACAAGGACAATCCCGTGGTAGTACTGTGTTTGGTACCATTCCACTGTCAGTCACAGTCTGTTTGAGGCAAAGTTGCAAGAGCAGAAACATCTTTTTCACTTCAACGGTTGGTCAGCAATCATTATTTCTCACCAACATACCCATAATGAGAGATAACACTTTCTGCTACTGTTGGTGCTTCTGTAAAAAGCACACACGATACTTTCATGGCGTGAGGGATGAGAAGTGAGGCACAAAACATATACAATAAGACGCAATTTTAAAAGTCTGGAGAGGCCCCTCCTAGACAACCGAAGTGCAGCAGCCGATCACATCCATAACTATAAAAAAGTCGTGCTCGTGCACTCGGCAATGATCTCTGAACGTAGTCACCGGCCATCTGGTTTACTACGTCAGTCTAGAGCGCACTCCCATTGGTGCAGGCTTGTGTGCGTCCACCTTTGAGAAGAAATGCCGCGAACTTCTACAGTTCTGCCTGACTTTAGCTCAGAATAAGAGCTAGAGAGTATGATAACGAGCCTACAGAGAGCGAGAAGTGTGAGGCAAGCAGCTAAGTGTTAAACGTGCAACAAACGAAGTGCATCACACAACGATCGAGAGTAGGTGCTTTGGTTGTAGATTATCCTGGCATTCTCCCACGTCAACTAGCTGGATGAATGAATGTTGGAACTTTTTTATAGTCTTTAGTGATGCAACTAGCGCCCTATGGTATTTTGCCGCGTTGGATGGAGGCTTAGCGTGGTCGCCACATCGTGGGCTCTCTAGTCGGCTCAAAGCTGATCGCTCTTGTTGAGGCTTCTGATGGCGGAGTACCATTTGGTTGGATCTGGTTCCTTCCTAGTGAGGGGCATCATCGGAGCATATGCTTTAAATTAGCTACTTCCCGAAAATGGGGGCTCGAGCAGCTATATATTCCCTTTTATCAATGATACGGTGTGCCTAGTTTAGTCTTTCGCATATGAGAAAAAGGTGCTACTGAAATTTCAAAATTTTAGTTATAACATTGCATGAAGTGTGCCATTATGAGGTTAAAAGAGGCGATCATTTCAGGGTACCCGGAATGACTTGTAACCTATCTTCATTTCTCACGTAACGAATGTAACTGTGGCACTTACAGAACGCTACCCGGACTGCAGGAGCATCCAGTGACGCATCCGTGCGAGCACTTCTTCTCTATTGGTTTTCCGCATGCCAGGGGACACTTTGAACCACAGTGATTGAAGTCCTGGAATGGTTTGTCCTTGCAGCTCAAACAGTCGGTCATGTTTATGCACACTCCCCACGCATTGCGCACGTAACCTTGTTTGCAGAGGCACCAGTGCAACTTGTTCACCTCGGTGGGCAGCGCGAGCCAGGGCTTGCAGAAGACGTCGTGCCGGGGATAGTAAGCATGAAGGAATTCTTCGTTAGGCCTGCACGTTCGCTTGCGACCTGTGAGTGACATGTGTAACGTTTTTATCGGATGCATCTTGTCAAGCGTTTCAATTCAGATTACGACTGCAAATATTTAAATGACCACTAAAGAGCAAAGCATTCTTCAGCGTATTACTCAAGTACAATTACAAACTCCCAGAAACACTACTCTCACACAGACATGTTGCCTGGGAACCTAGAAAACGCGCAAAATGAAAAGAACCTGTGTGTGCACACGCCACCCTCAGATTCCTGCATGGAACACCGTGACGTAATAGGTTTCAGAGCCATCTACTGGATCGTATACGTAGCTCCTGATCAATAAAACTGAACTACATTGTCATCTGTGGGCGCCATAGACCCAGCGTACGATGTTTCCGAGAATTTTATTGACGCAAAGTCACAAAAATTTAAGAAGTATATTTTAAAATTTCTGACGTCGTGAGCAAACTATTTGGCGCGAAATTTTAAAATGAAATTTTAACCGTCATTTTCTTCGCTGATGTTTAACTTTGGATACTGTACCATGTAGCGCTAGAGTTTTCAAGGAGCCGTTTGGCAAGCTGAACCGAGTCTTTGTTTCTCTTTAGTGCTTCTTTAGCAGCGTGTAATTTCACTAAAGCCTTGCAAAAACGAAATGACTTCAAAGAATTAGGTGAGTCAACAGTGAACGTTCTCTAGCCTCTTGTCACGAATGAAACAGTAGACTTCGGATACAGGACAACTCACTTTAATAATGCAGGACCCTGAAAAAATGATCGGGTGGCAATCTTGCCATTTTTTTTCCGCTGCGTGAGCTTTTTTGTTTTTTGCTTTGCATATTATATGCAACTTCTGGCTACTCAATAAGGAGCATCGTCCAATGCTACACAAGATCGAGAGTAGGTGCTTTGGTTGTAGATTATCCTGGCATTCTCCCACGTCAACTAGCTGGATGAATGAATGTTGGAACTTTTTTATAGTCTTTAGTGATGCAACTAGCGCCCTATGGTATTTTGCCGCGTTGGATGGAGGCTTAGCGTGGTCGCCACATCGTGGGCTCTCTAGTCGGCTCAAAGCTGATCGCTCTTGTTGAGGCTTCTGATGGCGGAGTACCATTTGGTTGGATCTGGTTCCTTCCTAGTGAGGGGCATCATCGGAGCATATGCTTTAAATTAGCTACTTCCCGAAAATGGGGGCTCGAGCAGCTATATATTCCCTTTTATCAATGATACGGTGTGCCTAGTTTAGTCTTTCGCATATGAGAAAAAGGTGCTACTGAAATTTCAAAATTTTAGTTATAACATTGCATGAAGTGTGCCATTATGAGGTTAAAAGAGGCGATCATTTCAGGTACCCGGAATGACTTGTAACCTATCTTCATTTCTCACGTAACGAATGTAACTGTGGCACTTACAGAACGCTACCCGGACCGCATGAGCATCCAGTGACGCATCCGTGCGGGCACTTCTTCTCTATTGGTTTTCCGCATGCCAGGGGACACTTTGAACCACAGTGATTGAAGTCCTGGAATGGTTTGTCCTTGCAGCTCAAACAGTCGGTCATGTTTATGCACACTCCCCACGCATTGCGCACATAACCTTGTTTGCAGAGGCACCAGTGCAACTTGTTCACCTCGGTGGGCAGCGCGAGCCAGGGCTTGCAGAAGGCGTCGTGCCGGGGATAGTAAGCATTAAGGAATTCTTCGTTAGGTCTGCACGTTCGCTTGCGACCTGTGTGTGACATGTGTAACGTTTTTATCGGATGCATCTTGTCAAGCGTTTCAGTTCAGATTACGACTGCAACTATTTAAAAGACCACTAAAGAGCAAAGCAATTTTCAGCGTATTACTCAAGTACAATTACAAACTCCCAGAAACACTACTCTCACACAGCTGTACTGTTCGTTGTTTGCGTTACTCTTAATGTATCTCAAAACAACATTCGGTGGTGGAGATTCGTTGTTCAAAAAGCTAAATTTTGAGTTTTTAAACAAACACATTGGTTTATCCTTCAGAAATTATATTCCTGCTTGGTATACATTGTTCAAAAACTATTTTTTTTTTGAAGCGCTGACAAAAAAAGTAGGTGCAACTTGGATATTGGCTCAAGGTTCAAGCTGTAATTTTTTATAAGAAACTCTAATATGCTTACAATTCAACTTTTTTTTCCTTCCTTATAGAATAGAAATGCTGCCACTTTAAAAGAATACACTCTGGGGAAGTTTTGAAGGATAAGCGTGACCGACAAAGGAAGAGAGTGAGGTTAGAAACCAATGACTCGTGATAATGACGGACTCCAAGTTGACTCTTTCGTACTCCTTCGCCTTATTGATAACACCGACAGCGTCAACGCCAACAGGGACCTCGCTCGACGCTGGCACTGGGACCTCAGAACTGTGCTATACAAATTCTTTGTGACTTAGAATTTCAGCTTTAATAAAAGGTACGTTCATTTTTAACATTTCTTGCAAATTTTACAGCGGTAGCTTCTGCTGTCACTTCTGTACAGCCAAACGTTGAAACTAATTCACAGTCTTTTGTCCCCCTCCTTCATCCGAACCGCTTTCTCAGATATATAGAATGCCCTTTATTTGTACGGGCAGGTAAAATGGCGTAGCCAAAGGGTAGCACACTGGACCTATGCCCCCCCCCCCCCCCAATAACGATACTATCTTTCGCTGTGGCATGCACAGGAAAATGACTGTTTTAAGAAGGTCCCCCTTTCCCTTCCTCCTCCTTGATGTCTTGTTACGATCGGTTGGGAGGTAGGATGAGTCAAGCTGCCCGTACGCAGCTTTTATTCCACTACCTTTGCTTTTCATAGCTGTTTTGTATCTCTGTGGCAATAAGCTTCAAACTTCTGTGTCTTTATACATATGTTAAGTAATGTCAGTTACATGTGGCTCTGGCTACGCAAAACTCTATTTTGACAGTTCCTTTTTTTTTGCTTTTGCCATAAAAAAAATCACTGCGTTTCTCGGGAGCGCTAATGCAAGCAAACTAACTATATAGCGTCATATGCACATAAGCCTCGATTAGACCAATAACGTAAGAATGGCACTTAAAGCAGACATACCTTGCGCGTAGACTCCTGCAAAAGTTATTCCGATGAGCAGAAGCACAAGCGCATGGGTGTGCATATTAGTGATATATTGTCCAAGAGCCCAGAGTCAGGAATCAATGACTTTGTTTCTCTGTCGCACGCTTTGCAAAAGTGCAAAGTCTGTATTGTCTACGGGAAAAACAATCGTTGTAGAAGGCAGAGGCTTCAGATTACGCGCGCAGTGTTGTTTTACATGTCATACGTACGCTAACCGACATACAATGCCGCGACACTGCTGCTAAAACGGCTGAACTGGTGTGGTGTGCCTGGGTCAATACTTGGACGGTCACAGCTTTTAAACGTTCTGTGCGGCGAACGGTATAATAATGGGAACAATGTGTTGTGCGTCGAAGTGCGCGTGTTTGCTGCCAGACGTAAAGACCAACGTTAAATTTCACGAATTTCGTAGCTACCGCTGTAACAACTGGCCGAAAGGTGCTTAGGGCCTATATGGAGGTCACCGTCTTGGTTATTCGGAGTAAGCGTTTACCAAGACCTCTGCAGCGAAATCCGATATGGAGGAAAAAGAAGCCTGTACTTTTATATACATAGTGAATGTTCAAAAATGTTAATGATGTATCTTGGGCACATCAAGCATGCTTAGAACTATGAAATGTTCTGTAAAGTACTGATTTGCATATACTCCTCTAATAGTGCGCACATACTGTGACTAATCTTCAGAGGACTAAATAAACTGAGTTAAATTAACAACACTACAACTGCTATTATCAAAAACAACGAGACAATGGTGAACTAGTTCGTTAGCAAAAAATTCACAGCTCTGCCACAAAGGCGCAGCAATGAATGCGATAGCAAGAAATTGGAATGTCACGCGCAGTATTCCAAGCATATCGAAACGCGCCCCACGTTATTAACGCACAAATTACGCACGAAACTTGCTCACAGGTACAGATGACCGCGAATAAGTGTCTCAGTTGTCATTTTGCTGTTTCTGAAAAGTTCACCTTTTTCACAAACGGAGACTGTGCAGCGAGTGAAGTGACCTTTGTGCGCCCGGTAACAAGGACAGAATCACTCCGGTGAAAGCCCTAGGCGTACGATTTTCCCCACCGCGAGATGAGCGCACACACGCGTAATCGTCAACCCCCCCCCCCTCTTTTCTCGGGGCAAACTACGCGTCGGAGACTACCGTATCAGTGCACCTCGTCACGTCGTGCCGATCTGGTGATGCTTGCTTATGGCGCCATCTCATTGGTAATGGTGAAAACATGAGAGTTTCTCCGAACTTTCCATTGCCAGTGGTAAGTGGTAGATATAAATAGCTTGCCGTTTCAACAGTGTAGCAGGTGATCCTTCGTGGCTGAGTTGCTAATATCACGCACTCAAAAGCAAAACGTCGGACGTTCTACTTCCCGCTACGTAGTCTTTATATGTATATAGATACGTATACATATACGGTGAATGATGGTAGTCCGCAACGTCGACGCCAGCAGCGAAATGTGGCTGAGAGTGTCCATATAATTGCTCTCGCAATAAAAAGAGTTGTAGTTTCCGGAGCCCCAGTTAAGTTTCCTTTGTCTAAATGCGGCCACAGCTCGACGAATAGAGCTACAAATCCGAGGTCCTCTTTGAAGATTTTCTCTTTATTGTCTAATTGCTGCAGGAAAATATTGTTAATGTACTAATTCAACAGTTCATCGTTTTTATTTGGACGAACTTTCAGTGAATAGCAAATGAATGGGGTGCAGTGAAAAAAATATAAAACTGTTTGTGGGTGCCTTCTGTGGAAAGTTTATTGAAAAACCTCACTACATGACCTGTGATGTATAAAACACCCTTAGATGGTGCCCACACACTGAATTGCAGTCGATACTTAGCAGCCGTTGAACAACAAGCCTATCAATATATTCGTATGGCAGCAATCGTGAACTGTCTGGAAAGCTAGACCTTTGACCGACAACATACCAAGTACATCTGTTCCTGTGACATTCATTGAGTTGCAGCTTGCGTTATTCCTTGTGTTATAGCCCCTCGCTATAGCTTTAATACTTTTTGTTTCATAGTGGATTTCAGAAAATCTCGAACAATCCTATACAAACATATTTTTTCGTTAAAAGCCTACGAGAAGTGAGAGAGATGCCGCAGGTTTTGATCCTATGGTATTTGTAACATTCTACTGTAATTCCAACCATGTTTTTCTGATATATTGTTGTAATTGACGAAGACGCTAGGTTTGCTCGTTTTGGCTGTTTTATTTGCAGTTATGCACCCACTTGTTCTGTCGCAAAGTTGCGTCGGCAACTATGGGAAGGTTAAACCAGTTTCAATATTGACGTGTAAAAAGACAGTTTCATTGTCTTATATTTGAAAATAAGTTTTCTCTTTGGTATTTCTTTAATATTTTATTAACAATAAAGACTATTAAGAGAAGAAAATTATGGGGGTACTGTTTGTTTTCTACTGAGTGTACAATTTAGATTGTAAAGTGAACTTAGTTAACGTGCACGAAAAATCGCAGCTTATTCACAGAGTGAACGATGTTCAGTGGAGCGAAGTGTCCATCCATCCATCCATCCATCCGTCCGCGCATTCGTCCGGTCACCTTCGAGAATGCAGATGGCACGCGGCTAACGCCGACGAGACGTGAGCTAAAGAAACCGAACGCAAGCGTCTTCAATGCACCCATTGCTGTGCTTCGTCCATGCCCCACTAATGATCCGCCACGCACGGCGACAATCCACAGACTGAGAGAGGCACTAGTTTTCAATGCACTCAGGCAAAATGCGCGCAGTAGCCAATTGCAGAGTATCGGAACAGCGCCATCTAGCATATCCTCACTCAACTCCAGTTTCTAATTACTTCTATACGACACGCTGTTTATTATGCTGTTCGGGAGATACTGCCTTTTTTTTCTCGTCCCTTTTCTCGGTTACGCGTGACGCGTGACAAGGTTAAACTAAGAGGACCTTCGCCCCTAAAACATCTGCTGTGAGTGATGTTCCTTACCACAACCTTCGAATCAGGCATTCGGTGATCAACCACTTCAGTTACAACGGAAAGTGTTTCAGCGTCGAGAGTGTTCGCCATTTCTTCCTTTGTAATCCAAGCGTTTCAGCCGGCAACCCTCGTAACCAAAGTAGTGAGCATGGAACATTTTTTTTATCAAAGGTTGTCACGTAGTTTGTGGGTTTTCAGCGAGGTAGCGGCTCAAAGTATAAATGCTTGCAGGCTGCCCTAGGGGCTCCAAATCTGGCGGCAGGCAGCCACCGCCAACTACGGTGAACGAATGCTTCAGTTCATGCTACCGGCTGTGTCAAATAGAATCAGTAAAGAGCAGCTTTTTAACATTCCGGAAGCCTCCTTGAAAGAACTAGGTGACTTTTTACCGCAATATCCTTATCATGAACTTGCTTCCTAGTTATCGACGTCTATTTCCTTTTAGTTTTCTTTGTGTCTCAAAGGAAATAACTTTCCTAATATACCTTCATAATGTATACGCCAGCACGTTTGTTTTTTACGTGAAGAATAATCATGCGATATAATTCACCATATTTTTTCGTATTATCGCCCGCCTGCTTCATTAGTTCAAATAATCTTTCCTGTTAACTCTAGTTAGCGCGATGAATTTATTACGCATTGATTTATTTCGGCGTAATAAACTCAATATGCTTGTATCGCTTT